AATACAAAGGTAGGGTTTTCTTTTCTTTTTGTAATCATAAACTGCAACCTCATCCCCCTCTTTATTTGCACTGCAGTTCTCCATGCCTTTCAAAAGAATGAGGAAACTTAGAGAGTTTCCACAACAAGCCAAAATTTTCAAATCCCAATTAACACAGGGATAGAAAGTGAAGTGAAATCTTCTAAATAGGGTCACAGAGGCACAGACAGAAAAGTTAACAGCACAGGAGTATTAACTCTTCCCTATGCTATCCAAAGCTTGCTTACGCATACACGTTGCTTCCAGTGTATCATGAAGCACAGATGTGGTCCATGGAAGGAGTAGCAGAGTCATGAAAGCTAAAGTGGCATCCAGACATTCTTGCGGGCCAGTCCCGTGAGAGCATCTAGACACCTACCCCAGAAAGCATGCACTTTCTGGGGTGGTTGTGGACAGGCTCCCAGGAAAATCTGCATTTTTAAAATGCGGATTCTCCTGGAATAAAGGCCTGTCTGGATCCACCCCAGGTGATTTCTCATGATGTGTCAGGTGATGACACCTGATGGGAACATATCACTCTTAGCTCAGGTTGTATATTTTGTTTCCTGTAGACACTATGACCCTATCTTCACTGCTATAAAATCCTTTTTTCTGAATCCAGATTATCTGCTTTGAACTGGATTATTGGCAGTCTCCAAGTTACAAAAAAGTTATGTTCTGTAGGTTTGATCCAAAATGAATTTGTAAATCAGAACAAGTACATTTTTAAGTTTAACTCCTGCTATATATGGGGGGTTTTCTTCATTTTGAGAACAGGTTGGGGGAGGGGGAGGAATTGCCTGAAAATGGTTCAATTAAGAATTCAAGGTGATTGGGGGAGGCTACATGTGGACCACTGCTTGTACTTTCCTTACTTTGGACATACAAAGGTGGGACAAAAAGATGTGAATTTCTGTTGATCAATTATAAAATAAATCCCCTGATTCTGTTCTCTAGCTCAGAACTGTTTAAACCTTTTCTCCTCATGACCTCTTTCTGTTCAAGACATTTTTACATGACCCCTGGAATACAGGTATATAAAATAGATATAAAAATCGGACATTTACTGATAATAAACCAGGATTTGCCAGACTTGCTAAACAGGTTGGTTTTTCTTTTTGTGCAGTACAGCTGAAGCATTTTCTGTAGAGTCCACTGTAAACATTGCACATTGTTGCTAACAGATTTGTATAATTGAGTGGCGTTCAGAGACCTTTGTTGCCAAATATTTCATGTTCTGGATAGAATACCTTTAAATGTAACATTCATCCTCTGGCGCATGTTGTAGGAAAGGTACCACCCTGATAAAACTAAAATACTCAACCTTGTCTAGGAGGAGGACTGTAATTTTGTCTAGCAGCAGGCACTATGTAAATAAGGGGCACATCTTCACTGTTGAATTAATATAGTTCAACACACTTTCACTGCCATGGCTCAATGCTAAGGAATCCTGGAATACATACGTAGTTTAGCAGTTTTTGGTAGCAAAGGGTAAAGACCTTGTAAAACAACACCTCCCAGGATTCCATTGCCTGGAGCCATGCCAATTTCAGAGATGGCAAACTGCATTAATTCTACAAAATAAGTGCAGCCAAGGGCTGGCAAAGGAATCTAACGGGGTGTGTATGTAGCTGCTGCAGTCTGATTCAGTCCTCAGTACATGTAAAGACTCATTATGCTGGGTAAACAATTCAAAGAACAAACAATTTAACCAGATTATAAAATGCAGATTCTCAATGAAAACATTTACACAACCTCCTAGAAACAAATCTTATCTCCCAGGTAAATAAGTGCCACCTAACTGGCGTTTATTGCAGTACCACGCAGTTATAAAGACTGTATTATATCTTGAATAATGTTACATTGAAAAAGAGTTGTACTGGCTTTTTAGGAATTTATTTATGATGCATATTTAACTACTTAATGCCATTTGAGGAAAACAATCTTCCTGTGCACACAACAAGTTATTTTGGGAGAACAAATGGGGCATGGGGTGGGGGCGGGGTGTGTGTGTGTGTGTGTGTGTGGAGAGAATCAACTTCTTCCAAAGCACAAGTTTCAAAGAAAATTCTAATCAACAGAAATAATATATAAATCTACAATTACAGCAAGTAATTGTAGATTTATATATTATTTCTATAAGGTAGGTAAAGGTAGTCCCCTGACATTTAGTCCAGTCATGTCTGACTCTGGGGTGTGGTGATCATCTCCATTTCTAAGCCGAAGAGCCAGCGTTGTCCGTAGACACCTCCAAGGTCATGTGGCCATCATGACTGCATGGAGCGCCGTTACCTTCCCGCCGGAGCGGTACCTTTTGATCTACTCACATTTGCATGTTTTCGAACTGCTAGGTTGGCAGAAGCTAGGGCTGACAGCGGAAGCTCACGCCGCTCCCCGGAATAGAACCTGCGACCTTTCGATCAACAAGCTCAGCAGCTCAGTACTTTAACCCACTGCGCCACCGGGGGCTCTTCAGGTAACCCAATATCTCTTGTATAAATCTACAATTACAGCAAGTAATTGTAGATTTATACGAGATATTAGGTTACCTGAAGATATCCCCTCTTTAAACTTTCAGAAGTTCGACAGATAAAATTACTGTACTTACTCATGTGTTAGTTGAGGGTCAAAACAGTGGATTTTTATATGACCAATGGATGTGTCAAAGGTCATTTTGTGGAGAGGAGAAAGTACTAATGCTGTTTTAGGGGACTAGCCAACTCTGGCCACTGCCACTAGCATTTTCTAATCTAAGTATTCAAAAAGACCAGAAGCAGAGCCATAGTGGAGAGACTAGAGGGGGTCAGTGGTTAATTTAAATGCTCCCTACAGACTAAAGTCTAGTTCAGGGGTCCTCAAACCTATTAAGGAGAGGGCCGGTTCATGATCCCTCAAAGGGGGGGGGGCAACTATAGTTTATTTAAAATATTGAACAAATTCCTATACATATTGCACATATCTCATTTGTAGTGCAAAAATACATGAAAGAACAATACAATATTTAAAATTAAGAACAATTTTAACCAACATAAACATACCAGTATTTCAATGGGAAATGTGGCCTTGTTTTTGGCTGATGAGATAGTTGTTAATTGGGATTGTTGTTGTTCTGTGTCTTCAAGTCATGTCAGACTTAGGGCAACCCTACATCTAACCTTTAGGGCAGGGGCCAAGTAAATGACTTTGGAGGGCCACATCCAGCCCACGGGCCTTAGTTTGGTGACCCGTGCTCTAGTTTTTCACCTCTGTATTAGAGAAGGAAATATTTCCTTTTTTGATAAGAGTTAAGATACCCTACTCAGATTGACCCACTTATAAGTTGATCCAGGTATTTTGGGTTGATTTTAAAAATAAAACATTTAGACTTATACATGAGTATTCAAAGTAATCTCAATAATGCTGACAGCCAGGGCAGAGCATGAAAGGCTGCCAACTACATTAGGGGACACAGGACAGTGAGTATGGCTCTACCCCATTACGACTGCTTTCTGCCATCTGAACTAGCTGGCATTATGCTTTGCCTAATGCTAAGTTTGAGAATTAAGTATTTATGCAACACATCTTCCAGAACCCAGGTGTTGTAATACACAGATGATGTCTTAGACCTTCATATAATCAACAGAGAAGCTAATACAAACATAACAAAAGAAAAATGTGACTTGGCTTCTCTGCCAAAAATGTCTTAACACAAGCATCTTTAATGACCACACCTTGAGTTCCTCAGAACTATTCTTCAAGCCACTTTCCCTTTAACAAGAATGTTACAGTCGCTTTAGTCTTTGTCTGTGAAGCAATTGGGTTGATTGGAGGGTAAGGCAAACATAGCATGAGCAAAACATGGCTTGTGCTTTCCCATGTGAATGTTCATCTTCCATACACAGAAATAGGTCCAAGAGCAGAAAAAGCTCCTGCATGTCCAGTGATTCCAACGAAACATGTCCTTAAAAAAAGCCAAATGATAACCTGCACCAATAAAAAAGGAAAAGGTAGATATAAAGCTAAAACATTTCATATATTAATTCTGTAAACTTCGAAGGAAGGAAGGAAGGAAGGAAGGAAGGAAGGAAGGAAGGAAGGAAGGAAGGAAGGAAGGACAGAAGATAAGGTGACAGAGGGTAAAATAACAAGAAAGTAGTAATATAGTTCAGTAGGATATATCTTGAGATTGTTAATAATGTTTAATGTGAAAAAAAACCTAAGAAGTCACAAATAAATCCCTATGTAATACACTAAAATAACCAGTAAATGCATCTCAGAATTTGTAAACATTTATGACATTCACATGATATTAAAAATTAATGGCTTAAACTATAGAAAATTAAAAATGTAACAAAGCAATTTTAATGTAATTCAAAAAGTAGGCCAGGTATTCAAAGAATCCAAATTAGTGGCCTATATCCAATTATTAATTTGAACTTAAGTAGTCACCATTAATCAATAGAGAACAAAAATGTTGAATTATTACATCTCTATTTATTGAATGTATCTACTCTAGTCTGGAATAAGTTGAATTTAGATCAATGCTAGTATCCAAAGAATATGGTGTTTTTCATGTTAAGTGGAAAACGTGAATATTAGTATTTTAAAAATATGTCAATGAAACCAAAATATGTTTAGTTTTTTCTAGAATAGAGGATGCCCCTCTACCTTCATAGGACTAAAGAAATGAACATTCTTTGCAGAAGTCAAAGAGATCTCAGCCTTGGCCCTGGTCGTGTCACATGGAAATAATTTGAAGGCACATGAACTACAAATCCTCATAGCTATATTTGGGAGGTGCTAGAACATCTGTGATGTAATCTGTAACCAAAAGAATGCAGAAAGGCTGGGTGCACAGTATGCACTTTCCCTCTAGAGTTACTAATCACAACTATATATGATTTACAATAATGCACTGACTGTCAAAAATAAAAGCATACCTTTCAAAGCCCAAATTAGGTGTGTGCTGTTTCTTACTGGAAGACCAAGTTTCACAAAACTACAAACTTGGTGGCTTCTTGATTCAAATCATAAGATCTCAAGAGAGAGAAAAGAGGAAATTGAGAACAGAAAGTAAAAGTTGCTCCTACAGTGAAAAGAGCAACATATATTTTCAGATTTCAACAGATGAATACTGAATTAACACATGCAAGTGGTACATTATTATTATCTATTGGTCAAAAACACTCTACATGTGCAAAGTTATTATGTGTTTAATCTTACTATTTTTTTCCATATGCTTTTTAATGTATTTTGGAAGTGAAGATTGAAGAAGGGATTCTCCCCTGCAGCTTCTACATATGTGAACGAAACTACCTAGGTCTTATAAAACTAGTTTTATATATTCTGACTAGTGGTCACGGTAGCACAGCGGGTTAAACCGCTAGCTGAAGGAAAGCTGCTGACCAGAAGGTTGGCAGTTCAAAGCTGTGAGTTGGGGTAAGCTCTCGATTGTCAGCCCTAGCTCCTGCCAAACTAGCAGTTTGAAAGCACGCAATGCAAATAGATCAATAGGTACAGCCTCGGCAGGAAGGTAAAAGGGTGTTCCAGGCAGATATGCAGACATGTCAGCAACACAATCGGAGAGGTCTATGGACATCAGGCTCCTTGACATGGAAAATGGAATAAGAGCCCCTCCCCATGGCCGGAGTTGAGCATTGCCTCCAGACGTTGGAGGTGGAAAAAGGGGGAGGCCTTTACCTTGTCTGTGTTGTGTGTCAATGTTCATTGTGTATGTAAAAAGACATTGAATGTTTGCCACATACGTGTATTGTAATTCGTTCTGAGTCCCTCCGGGGAGATAAAGCCGAATACAAATAAAGTGTGTGTGTGTATGTATGTATATTTCTTTCTTTCTTTCTTTCTTTCTTTCTTTCTTTCTTTCTTGGATCAAATTCATAATAATTATATTTCAATACTTTACCTTTTTTTCTTTTGCCACAGAATGAAGCCAACAATGACAGCAGTGCAAAGAACAACCAAAACTGGAGCTACTGTTGGATAGGACAGAGGGAAAAAAACACTTGATGAAACAAAGTAAAAATAAAACATGATAGTAAAGCTAGGAAGTTTCAGAAAAACATCTACTTCTGCTTCATTGACTATTCTAAAGCCTTTGACTGTGTGGATCATAATAAATTGTGGCAAGTTCTTAGTGGGATGGGCATCCCAAGCCACCTTGTCTCTCTCCTGAGGAATCTGTACAAGGACCAAGTAGCAACAGTCAGAACCGACCATGGAACAACAGACTGGTTCAAGATTGGGAAAGGCGTACGGCAAGGCTGCATCCTCTCACCCAACCTTTTTAACTTGTATGCAGAACACATCATGCGATGTGCGGGGCTGGATGAATGCAAAGCTGGGGTGAAAATTGCTGGAAGAAACATTAACAACCTCAGATATGCAGATGACACCACTCTGATGGCCGAAAGCGAGGAGGAGCTGAGGAGCCTTCTAATCAAGGTGAAAGAAGAAAGCGCAAAAGCCGGGTTGCAGCTAAACGTCCAAAAAAACCAAGATTATGGCAACAAGAATGATTGACAACTGGAAAATAGAGGGAGAAACCGTGGAGGCCGTGACAGACTTTGTATTTCTAGGTGCAAAGATTACTGCAGATGCAGACTGTAGCCAGGAAATCAGAAGACGCTTACTTCTTGGGAGGAGAGTAATGTCCTGTCTCGATAAAATAGTAAAGAGTAGAGACATCAGACTGGCAACAAAGATCCGCCTAGTCAAAGCCATGGTATTCCCTGTAGTAACCTACGGATGTGAGAGCTGGACCTTAGGGAAGGCTGAGCGAAGGAAGATCGATGCTTTTGAGCTGTGGTGTTGGAGGAAAGTTCTGAGAGTGCCTTGGACTGCGAGAAGATCCAACCAGTCCATCCTCCAGGAAATAAAGCCCGACTGCTCACTGGAGGGAAGAGATACTAGAGACAAAGTTGAAGTACTTTGGCCACATCATGAGGCGACAGGAAAGCCTAGAGAAGACAATTATGCTGGGGAAAGGGAAGGCAAAAGGAAGAGGGGCCGACCAAGGGCAAGATGGATGGATGGCATCCTTGAAGTGACTGGACTGACCTTGAGGGAGCTGGGGGTGGTAACGGCCGACAGGGAGCTCTGGCGTGGGCTGGTCCATGAGGTCACGAAGAGTCGGAGACGACTGAACGAATGAACAACAACAAAAAGCTAGGAATGTAAAACTATTGGCTATTTCATCCTCATGTGCAAGAATGGGGAATATGTATAGTTTCTCCCTGCTATCCACACATTCTGAAGAGTTTCAAAAAGTTATCCTAGGCAGAAACACATATTATTTATAGCACAGAGGTGAGAGATTTCACCTGGTAGATACACATTATAAATTGTTTTGAGAAATTATTCTGATGCATGGCCGGCTTTCAATAAATATTGTCAAGATAACCCCATGTCAGAGTCAACATATGTCAGAGTCAATTTGCAAGTACATAGTAATAGTGACATTGTTTTAAAAGGAAGTAATGTTTTCAGGAAACATAGTTCGGTTTAGTTAATCCCCATGAAAAAATAACTCTGATTACAAAGCTAGGAGATGCTGCTCCTTCCCTCCTCTGCTGCCTTTGCTCCGTTATAGCCCTTTTTCCTTCAAGGGAGCTCTTTCTTATGAGTGAAGTATTTAGGGTGAGAGAGCTTTCTTGCCCATACCATTTTACTATAAGGAACAATCACCCCTAATAAGGCATTTGAGGTTTGTAGGCCTTCCCGAAAACCTTCCAGGGCCCCTTCCACACAGCTGAATAAAATCCCACATTTTCTGCTTTGAACTGGGACATATGGCAGTGTGGACTCAGATAACCCAGGGCCCTTCCACACAGCCCTATATCCCAGAATATCAAGGCCGAAAATCCCACATTATCTGAGTGTGGATTCAGATAACCCAGTTCAAAGCAGATATTGTGGGATTTTCTGCTCTGATATTCTGGAATATAGGGCTGTGTGGAAGGGCCCTCAGTTCAAAGCAGATATTGTGGGATTTTCTGCCTTGATATTCTGGGTAATATGGTTGTGTGGAAGGGCCCCAGGTTTCACTGATTCTGCTAGATATTTTACTGAGAGAATTTCAAAGCAAGGCACTGCAGCTGATCTGAAGAGCTATGACAGGACTTTCCCCAATGAATCAGTCTGTAGGACATTCCACTGCAGCTTTCCAACTTCATTGAATATTCCATGAACCAAGCCATTGTCTTATGACTTTATCACATGAGTCTGAATTGTGGCAAGATAAAAGCCTCTTGGGATGAGACTTACTGTGCAATGTTGTGTCTCTTCCTTAGCCGTACTGTGCTTGAATAATTTCTTTTCATTGCTGGGAAAAACCTATCAATGAATCCATTACACTGTTCTTCCACCACTCTTTTCCATGTGTAATAAAGTCCTTCCGCTGATATTGCGAAGCAGAGGAAGGACTTGCAAGAATGGCTCCACTGTGCATTCTTGCAAATCCTTCCTCTTCTTCCTTTGCAATGACACACGGAGACAAAAAAGAGGGGGAAGGAAAAAATTAGGAAAAAAACCCAGCATACATGTGCTGGAAAAGGGAAACACTGGTCAGAAGTGAGGTTGTATGAAAGACTGTCTGCAGGTATTAGCATAAATGAAGTGCTAGCTTTGCACAATTGCAACAAGGGGGAAAAGTGACTGTATGCTATAGCAATGTGATTGTGACAAGATAACAGGCCGGTGTGATAAAGCTCTTACTTTCAGTGATCGCTGGCAGGGTGCCAAGGACCTTCTGCCTGAAAGCAGAGGGGAGGCATAACTGGTCACCCCTTCTGATCTGCCGTCTGTGGAAAGGAGCAGTCTTTGCCTCTGAGTGAGTTGAATATAAGCATGATTGCAAAAGAATAAATCACTGGTTATCTCCCACCCCAATAATTTGGTTCAAGTAACTTACTGATACCAATCATGTCTCCAAGCTGTAGTCCTTAAAAAAATAAAAATAAAAATAAATATCTGTAATCCAAACTAATGTAATGCCTAACATTTAAAGGCATATGTATACTGAACAGTTAATGTGCAATTGGACCTGTTACTTAAGTAACTATAATTTCATGTGGACCAAATTGCTACAACCTGATCCATATGGAGAAGAACACACCCAGTTACTTTTTTTTGTAAGAATACCTGATTAAAAAGACACACAAAACACAAATCCACTTTTCAATTAAATACAGTAAATAAAAACAAAACAAATTAAAAATCAAAACATATTGCTTTTACTGCTAAAACAACTGAATAACAGATTAAATTAGCATATTTATAAAATTAAGAGGCATTGGATATACATTATCCCAGCCATAACCATTTGGTTTTTCCAATATTTTATACATAATGTAATCATATATAATTTATTATACTGACAAATATCGCAGTGATATTTTTTCATGGAATCAGGGATGCCTATAGCATTTGATTCTTTAAGCTGTGTAATTTATTTATTCTCTATGACCAACGCCTCCTAGAGTTCAAGGTACTATGCTACCCTTTCAAAAAATATATTAAAAACTCAGCTGTAAGCATTAATCTTGCCTTGCCTTCTGTAGAACGAGGCCACTGTCAGGATTATCTTAACATCTTTAGAATGAATCTTCATTCAAAAAGCAGCTAGCCAATCAATTTATTTTAAAAATGTCCACATGCAGGCTCTAAAAACAGCATTTTTTTTGCAACTCACCTGTGAAATTATCTTCTTTTTCAGTTGGCCTTTTAGTGAGAAGTACGGGTGTTGTAATGGCTACAATAAAGATTATAGGTAAATGTTATTTCAAAATTACTGAATTGTCATTCCCAATGGTTGCATCATAATAAGAACCTTCCTGAAACTTAAGTGCAAGCTATTGCAGTCATACAATTTGTAGTATCCAACCAGTAATAACTTTATAGAAGAGTAATGCGTCATTACACCAAATCTTCAGAACATTGAAAACGCTCTGTACATTGTATATATGGTGCCCATTTAGTTCAACAAGATGGTTCTGTGCAAGTAAACCTTTGGAACTTTTGAAAATGCAGCGTAGTTTTTCTTTCTGACTTATTTCACAGTCTCTACCTCAGAAAATACTGTAGAACTGAGGTCCAGAGATATTTGTCCAGTTGCGAACCTTCTCTATTTTCTCATTACTTTTTCAATCTTTTTTCTTTTAGAAAAACCGATTCGGGAGGAAAAGACAGGAAAGCTGCACATTTAGTTTTGACTTGTACCATTGGGAGCCATATTTTTGAAAACAACCTAAATACTCCTCCCAAATTAGGTTTCTGCATTTCTCACCAATGATGCTTAATAATCAGCTGGCAGAAATCTACCAATAGTTCCTTTAGCAGCAGCATTGTTACCTTATTTTTCTGTAGAGCTGGTTAACTGGTTATATGAACAAATATTCTAGGACCTTTCACACAGCCATACAAACAGAATATCAAGGCAGATAATCCACAATATATGCTTTGAAATGGAATATACATATATAGTACAATATGGTAATAATTAATACTGATATTGTGCTTTGCTAATAATATAATATACTGTATGTATTTATATGTTGTAAGCCGCTCCGAGTCCCCTTCGGGGTGACAAGGGTGGCATATAAATGCTGAAAATAAATAAATATTTGAGTTCATACTGCCAGATAATCCACTTCAATGTGAATTTTATACTACTATATAAGGGGCCTGAGTGATCTTTATCCTGGAATTTAAAGGGAAGACTACAGCATCTGATTCTTCATGCTGTGTAATTTGTTTATTCTTTATGTCCAACGCCTCCTAGAGTTCAAGAAACTATGCTACTCTTTCACAAAATAAAATTAGAAACTCAGCTGTAAGCATTATTTTTGCCTTGCCTTCTGTACAACAAGGCCACTGTCAGAATTATCTTAATATCATTTGAATTTATTTTGAAAATGTCCACATGCAGGTTCTAAAAACAGCATTTTCTTGCAACTCACCTGTGAAATTATCTTCTTTTTCAGTTGGCCTTTTAGTGAGAAGTACGGGCGTTGTAATGGCTACAATAAACATTATAGGTAAATGTTATTTCAAAATTACTGAATTGTCATTCCCAATGGTTGCATCATAATAAGAACCTTCCTGAAACTTAATTGCAAGCTAATGCAGTCATATTTAAGAATTTTGACACAGAACTCCCCCAAGTTGCACTTTGAAAAGGACACCATCAGTTTCAAAACAAAAGACACATTAGCACTGAATCATTGCCCTCTCTGATCAGACAAAGCCGAAAGAAACAGCACATACTGTATAGCACACAATTTTGGACAAGTACAGCATATTCGAAATCTAGCTCAATCATTCAATGTCCACATTACAAATTAAGCATTGGTGGGACCAAAGACCATAATAGCACAAAACATATGGCAATGCAGGGAATACAAAACTGCCAAATCATAACACAGTTCTGAGAAATTCAACCTTTTTGTCCTAAAGCAGTGGTGTCAAGCTTGTTTTCGACATCAGCTCCCGAAACTCCTGGCCATTGGACAAGATGGCTAGGGCTCCTGGGAGTTGGAGGCCCAAACATCTGGAGGGCGCAAGTCTCAAAACAAACATTTAAAAAGTTTTTTTCAAATACTAAGGGATTATGGCAGGGTTTCCTTGACAAGATTTGTTCAGAGGGTTTTGCCTTCCTCTGAGGTTGAGAGAGTTGACTTGTTCAAGGTCACTCCATGGATTTCCATGGCTAAGTGAAGATTCAGACCAGAGCACAGTCCAATGCTCAAAGCTCTGCATCATGCTGACTCTGTAACCTTTTACATAAAAGCAGTTTCTGCTGAGTTCAGCTGCCTTGCTTCCAAGTATACAGTCACAGGTTTTATCCTACATATACTACCTTAAAGGTGCCTGTATTAATTTAGATTAAACACCAATAACAACTGTGCCCAGTAGTTTTGGAGATCCATCTGGCTATGTGGAACACATTAAAAACAGATTTTAAAAACCCACTCAATGTCTCTTTTCTTATGCAATATAATAGGCACAGTTTTAAACATCCAGCCAGTAGTAATGTTGCAGAAGAATACTCTGTACATTATATAAATATATGGTGCCTATTTCGTACAACAGGATGGTTCTCTCTAAGTAAACATTTCAGCCTTGTGAACCTGCAGTATAGTTCTTCTTTCTGACTTAATGACAGTCACTGCTTGAAAAAGGGGGAACTAAAGTCTATAGAATTTTTTCCAATTGCAAAACACTGTGCTATCCCTTATATAACACCTCAAAATATCTTTCACAGAAGAATGTCAATGCCAGAATTTATTCTGCTAATGCATCCTGGGATGCAATCCCATATATTTTGAAGATGGCCTTGTTGGCAGTCTTTCCTTAATGTTTGTAAAATAATTCTTGGCTTTAACTGCAAACATTCATTTTGGCTCAACAGTTTCTCAGGCCCCATATTATCTCCTTTGAACTGGATTATATGGCATTGTAGACTCATACAATCCAGATTATCGAAGTAGATAATCCATCCTAAAACTCTACATACCTGCCATCTAACCATTATTTCTCCCAGCAGCATTTGTTACATATAACAATAAATTTATTTGAGTCTATATATGTTACTTTTGGACAGCAGGCATGACAGCACTCTGGATGTTGAACTGGACTGAAATGGCTATATGGTTTGATAATGTTTTTAACTTACTGTTTTATTTATCGTTTTAAATTGCTGTTATATTTGTTATATTTGTTTGTACATTGTGGCATCAAATTGTTGCTGGTGTAAGCCGCTCTGAATCCCCCCTTGGGAGTTGAGAAGGGTGGGGTAGAAATGTTGGAAATAATAAATAAATAAATAAATGCTTAAAAATAATTTCTTGTTGCTGCTTTTATATATACATATGTATTTAAAGTATAATTATACTTTAGTGATTTGTCATATTGCAAGCCACATAAAAATAAATCATAAAACATGCATTTTTAAAAATCTTTTAAACAAAAAAAGAAGCCCTTGGACAGTCTAAAATAATGTCTTTCAGTTAATCAATAAGAATATGATTTTACCTTTACATTCAGGAGTGTAACCTCTCCAGACTCCAGTTAAATTATTTTCAGTCGTACAATGAATAGAAGACTCTCCGATAATCAAAAAGCCAGGGTCACAATGATATGTTACTGTTGAGTTATAAGTAAAATTTCCAGTACTATTTCCATCGTGTGATGCATTAGTGACATTAGGAGGAGAGAAACAAATGATTTCTGAAACAGAGAAAAATAGTTCAACAATACCACCTAAAGTTATGGTTCTATATTTTTGCTAAAATACCTGAATGTCTGATTCTAAGGGATTTGATTAACTGTTTTGAGCTGGATTATATGGCAGTGTAGACACATATAATGCACTTCAAAGCAGATAATCTGGATTCAGAAACTGGATTATATGGCAGTGTACATCTATTTTAAGGATCCAGGCATTCTTCTTAATAAAACTGCTATCACCTGTATTTGGTGATTTGGCAAGGAGCACTGCTAATAAGCTCCAAGATGAAATTTTAAGGCACATTTGTTACTCTGCTCAACCTTCCTTTGAATGATCCATACCACCAGAAAGCCCATGTTCAACAGTTGTGACACTCCTAGGGGGCATTACAGATATGACTGAGAAGATGCCAGGAATCATACTAACATTCCTCAAGTCAAGCCATTATTGATAGCAATGAGAAACAATATGCCAGATATGTATTATTTATAAAGTGTCCTAATCGCTAGGAACTGTATGGTGCTTATGTGAAAAACAACAAATCCTGTCCAAAAATATAACACATTTTAAGGAAATCAAAAAAAAGGGAGGGGGGGCATATGAGATCATGATTGTTAAAGGTCTCGAAAGGAGATCTTTAACCATCGCTATGTTTGAAAACCACGTTTTCAGACATAGTTTAAAGGTCAAGCACAGTATAAATTTAAAGCAGCGGGGGAACCTTACGTTGGCATTCTGGAGGCTTTGTTTGCCATTCAACACTGTCTCCCTTCAGTACACACTTGGTAGAAGGTGATCCAATTAATCTGTACCTATAGGAGGGAGGGAGAAAATAAGAGCGAAAGGCATATTCGGTTCTCATTCTCTCTTGGCTTCTTTAAATTCCTATGTTGTTGTTTTTTTTTAAACTGATGGGTTAAGAAATACTAAGTCATTTGTTTATGGAAATATGAAATGCAACTGTGTAAGAGTCAGTGTGCACAATCACTGCAGCATTTACCGTGGTGTAGATGTATCTAGATTGCAATCAGTTTTGGGTAAAGTAAAGTTAAAGGTTTCCTCTGACATTAAGTATAGTCGTGTCTGACTCTGCGTGGTGGTGCTCATCTCCATTTCTAAGCCGAAGAGCCAGTATTGTCCGTAGACGTCTCCAAGATCATGTGGCCAGCATGATTGCAATGTTGCATGGAGAGCGGTTTTGAGTAGTTCTATTCTAGAACTTTATCTACAATAAAATCAGGCCAATTCATTATTACGTAGATGAGATATGTACAGAGGGAATTACTTTGGCAAATACAGGGCTTAAATCTTTTAAAAAATTGTGGAAGAACATGGCTGACAATTTCTGGAAGAGGTAGACAAGTTCTGACACTGGAAAAACCTTACTGAACAAGGACAAAACCTTACTTCTTAAGTTCACTTGGCCAGAGACAGAATACTTTACCAGCCGCACGTATCGTGCATCCTAGAATTTTCTTTGACACTACAAATATTTCTGATATATTTTCTTAGTGTCCACAATTTGCCCTAACTCAACTGACTACCATAGTTGGAATCTGGTAAAGGTTGGCGGTTCCAATCCACAGGATGGTGAAAGCTCCTGTTGTTAGCCCCAGCTTCTGCCAACCTAGCAGTTCAAAAACATGCAAATATGAGTAGGTCAATAGGTACCACTTCGGCGGGAAGGTAATAGCACTCCATGCAATCATGCCAGCCACATGACCTAGGAGACATCTATGGACAATGTCAGCTTTTCACTTAGAAATGGAGATGAGCACCACCCCTCAGAGTCAGACTCAACTAGACTTCCTGTCAAGGAGAAACCTTTACCTTTACCATAAAGTTATTAGACGACGTCCTCCAAAAAGGAAGTCTCACTCCAGTCGTGTGAAGGAGTGATGCATAAGGGACACCATCTATAAATACTGTAAATTTTAGTATAAAGTATACAGTGGGTTAAACTGCTGAGTTGCTGAACTTGTTGACCGAAAGGTCGCAGGTTCGAATTCGGGGTGTGGTGGGAGCTCCTGCTGTCAGCCCCATCTTCTGCCAACCTAGCAGTTTGAAAACATGCAAAGGTGAGTAGATCAATAGGTACCACTCCAGTGGGAAAGTAGCGGCACCCCATGCAGTCATGTTGGCCACATGACCTTGGAGGTGTCTACGGCCAACACCGGCTCTTCAGCTTAGAAATGGAGATGAGCACCAACTCCCAGAGTCAGACACGACTGGACTTAATATCAGGGGAAAACCTTTACCTTTACCTTACTAGCATAGCTTTGTAAAAAATGTCCCAAATAGAATAAAGCATGAAGGAGACTCAAGTGGAATGATTCAGATATTTTTCTCTATGATTCATGTTCTCCTTAGATCAAGAATGGGGAAACAGTTTGCAATGCCAATCCAAATCACCTTGCTTTGCTCACCTTGCTTGAATCAATCTTTGCACTCAAAGGGGGAAAAAACACTTCAAACTTCAGGGGTGTGCCTAGAAAATATTCTTGTAAGTCAATAAACTTCAGACCATATTAGTACATTATTCATGGCCAAGGTGGGGGAATTCAGGTACAAAGCAATTTTGTTTTATCTCTTTCATTACAACAGTGGTTGCATGACTTAAGTCTGTAACTAACGCAGGCATGGGCAAACTTCGGCCCTCGGGATATTTTGGACTGCAACTCTCACAATTCCTAACATTTTATATAGAATTTAGGTTTCTCAGCTGATGGATCTAGCTGAATACACACCCTTCGTCACAGATGAAATTTACACTTGCCGAATACAGGAGATTAGTTAGAACAACAACTTCACCATGTTCCGGTTTTCCTGGATCGCCACATGATTTTCCTAGTGGAAAACAACATTATGCATTAACATACTAGAGATACTATATAAAATGGCATTAATTGATAAACAATTTAATTCATTCAGTATCTTCATCTCAACAATTTAATATTTTCAATAAAATGTTAATTCGGTAAAAGGTCACTAGGAAAATTTAAAACTTCCTTTATTCCTTTGAAGAAAACTTCAATATAGACAACAAAATAGGTTTCGAAACAAAAGACACATTCTGGGATAAAATAAGAAAAAAGGATATGAAATTAATAAAGGAAATATGCCAACAACTATTAATATGGACCACCGAACCCGAACAAGTAAAAGACACTATGATAAACTGGTCGAGAGATATAGGCTGATCTATACCCTTGACAGATTGGGAAGAGATCTGGCTAAAAAAATAAGATATACTTATGCAACAGATCTCAAGGAGAGCTGGTATAAATTTTTTTACAGATGGTACTTAACCCCAGAAATAATAGCAAAAATAAGTAAAGGCAAAACAAAAGATGTGTGTTGGAAATGTGAAAAAGACAAAGGCAACTTTATCCACATGTGGTGGAAATGCAGGAAAGTTAAAAAAAATTGGCATCGAATTCATAAGAAAATAGAGCTGATTTAAAAATTTAAACATAAAATTTAACCCAAAATCAGAAACTCTACTACTGGGGATAGTAGATTTCAAAATGGAAAAGAATACTGATAAGTTATTTTTTTAATCTAATATAAGCGGCGAGAGTGACCCTAACCAAATTATGGAGAACTAAAGAAATACCCACAGTGGAACAGTGGACGATAAAGATTATGGACATAATAAATATGGACATACTGACTCAAAAAATTTCACACAACACAACAAAACAAAACAAAAACAGATTGGAAAAATTTCTGGAATTTGTAAAAGAAGAAAACAAAGAAATATGTAACAGAAATTTATGGTTGAAATTCAAAAGAACCACCAAGACGAAATTGTTGGCAAAAAAGATAAGAAGTATATATTCCTCTCCCTGCCCACCCTCTCCCTTTTCCCATCCTCCCCTCACACCTTATTCCTACTCTACTTTCTCACTTTCCTACTTTACCTCACATATACCCATTGTTCCCACTCTTTTTATGTAACCAATAAGAAAACAATTAAAAAAATTAAAAAACAATACCACCTAAAGTTATGGTTCTATATTTTTGCTAAAATGCCTGAATGTCTGATTCTAAGGGATCTGATTAACTGTTTTGAGCTGGATTATATGGCAGTGTAGACACATAAAATGCACTTCAAAGCAGATAATCTGGATTCAGAAACTGGATTATATGGCAGTGTAGATCTATTTTACGGATCCAGGCCTTCTTCTTAGTAAAACTGCTATCACCTGTATTTGGTGATTTGGCAAGGAGCACTGCTAATAAGCTCCAAGTTGATATTTTAAGGCACATTTGTTACTCTGCTCAACCTTCCTTTGAATGATCCATACCACCAGAAAGCTCATGTTCAACAGTTGTGACACTCCTAGGGGGCATTACAGATATGACTGAGAAGATGCCAGGAATCATACTAACATTCCTCAAGTCAAGCCATTATTGATAGCAATGAGAAACAATATGCCAGATATGTATTATTTATAAAGTGTCCTAATCGCTAGGAACTGTATGGTGCTTATGTGAAAAACAACAAATCCTGTCCAAAACATAACACATTTTAAGGAAATCAAACAAAAGAAGGGGAGGCATATGAGATCATGATTGTTAAAGGTCTCGAAAGGAGATCTTTAACCATCACTATGTTTGAAAATCACGTTTTCAGACATAGTTTAAAGGTCAAGCACAGTATAAATTTAAAGCAGCGGGGGAACCTTACGTTGGCATTCTGGAGGCTTTGTTTGCCATTCAACACTGTCTCCCTTCAGTACACACTTGGTAGAAGGTGATCCAATTAATCTGTACCTATAGGAGGGAGGGAGAAAATAAGAGCGAAAGGCATATTCGGTTCTCATTCTCTCTTGGCTTCTTTAAATTCCTATGTCGTTGTTGTTTTAAAACTAATGGGTTAAGAAATATTAAGTCATTTGTTTATGGAAATATGAAATGCAACTGTGTAAGAGTTAGTGTGCACAATCACTGCAGCATTTACCGTAGTGTAGTTGTATCTAGATTGAAATCAGTTTTGAGTAAAGTAAAGTTAAAGGTTTCTCCTGACATTAAGTATAGTCATGTCTCACTCTGGGGGGCTGGTGATCATCTCCATTTCTAAGCCGAAGAGCCAGCATTGTCCATAGACATCTCCAAGATCATGTGGCCAGCATGATTGCATGGAGCACTGTTGCATGGAGAGCAGTTTTGAGTAGTTCCTCCCATTGTAGAACTTTATCTACAATAAAGTCAGGCCAATTCATTATTACATAGATGAGATATGTACAGAGGGAATTACTTTGGCAAATACAGGGCTTGACTCTTTTAAAAAAAATGTAAAAGAACATGGCTGATAATTTCTGGAAGAGGTAGACAAGTTCTGACACTGGAAAAACCTTACTGAACAAGGACAAAACCTTACTTCTTAAGCTCACTTGGCCAGAGACAGAATACTTTACCAGCCCCATGTATTGTGCATCCTAGAATTTTCTTTGACACTACAAATATTTCTGATATATTTTCTTAGTGTCCACAATTTGCCCTAACTCAACTGACTACCATAGTTGGAATCTGGTAAAGGTTGGTGGTTCCAATCCACAGGATGGGGAAAGCTCCTGTTGTTAGCCCCAGCTTCTGCCAACCTAGCAGTTCAAAAACATGCAAATATGAGTAGGTCAATAGGTACCATTCTGGTGGGAAGGTAACAGCACTCCATGCAATCATGCCAACCACATGACCTAGGAGATGAGCACCACCCCTCAGAGTCAGATTCAACTAGACTTCCTGTCAAGGAGAAACCTTTACCTTTACCATAAAGTTATTAGACGACGTCCTCCAAAAAGGAAGTCTCACTCCAGTCGTGTGAAGGAGTGATGCATAAGGGACACCATCTATAAATACTGTAAATTTTAGTATAAAGTATACAGTGGGTTAAACTGCTGAGTTGCTGAACTTGTTGACCGAAAGTTCGCAGGTTCGAATTCGGGGTGTGGTGGGAGCTCCCGCTGTCAGCCCCATCTTCTGCCAACCTAGCAGTTTGAAAAACATGCAAATGTGAGTAGATCAATAGGTACGCTCCGAGGAAGGTAAGCACTCCATGCAGTCATGCTGGCCACATGACCTTGGAGGTGTCTGGACAACACGGCTCTTCGCTTAGAAATGGAGATGAGCACCAACTCCCAGAGTCGGACACGACTGGACTTAATATCAGGGGAAAACCTTTACCTTTACCTTACTAGCATAGCTTTGTAAAAAATGTCCCAAATAGAATAAAGCATGAAGGAGACTCAAGTGGAATGATTCAGATATTTTTCTCTATGATTCATGTTCTCCTTAGATCAAGAATGGGGAAACAGTTTGCAATGCCAATCCAAATCACCTTGCTTTGTTCACCTTGCTTGAATCAATCTTTGCACTCAAAGGGGGAAAAAACACTTCAAACTTCAGGGGTGTGCCTAGAAAATATTCTTGTAAGTCAATAAACTTCAGACCATATTAGTACATTATTCATGGCCAAGGAGGGGGAATTCAGGTACAAAGCAATTTTGTTTTATCTCTTTCATTACAACAGTGGTTGCATGACTTAAGTCTGTAACTAACGCAGGCATGGGCAAACTTCGGCCCTCGGGATGTTTTGGACTGCAACTCTCACAATTCCTAACATTTTATATAGAATTTAGGTTTCTCAGCTGACGGATCTAGCTGAATACACACCCTTCGTCACAGATGAAATTTACACTTGCCGAATACAGGAGATTAGTTAGAACAACAACTTCACCATGTTCCGGTTTTCCTGGATCGCCACATGATTTTCCTAGTGGAAAACAACATTATGCATTAACATACTAGAGATACTATATAAAATGGCATTAATTGATAAACAATTTAATTCAGTATCTTCATCTCAACAATTTAATATTTTCAATAAAATGTTAATTCAGTAAAAGGTCACTAGGAAAATTTAAAACTTCCTTTCTTAGAATCATAGAATCAAAAAGTTGGAAGAGACCTCATGGGCCATCCAGTCCAACCCCCTGCCAAGAAGCAAGAAATCCCATTTAAAGCACCCACAACAGATGGCCTGGTTCTTCTCAGTAACCACACTCTGACAACTTCAGAACAGTTGTTTTAAGAACTGAATGGATTTTTTTTAAAAAAAGATAGTAATAGAAACTAAAAAGAAACTCGACTATAGCCGACAGAATATCAGTGTGGGCTTTTGCCTGTGACCCAACAGATAACTAATTGTAATAATCTGGTCGACTGCAATTGATAGCATTAAGTATGACATGTGGCTATACTTTTGACTAAGTAAATATTGTATGCTATGCAATCTCTGTTGTTTCACTCCTGAATAACTTGCCATAATATGTTATAATATTGGCTTATTTATCAAAGCATTTGCTACTGCCTAGCTACTAATATAAGTCATTAATGGCAGCTCCCAAATATCTATTAACAATCTAAAAATTAATATGAAATAAAATCAAATATTTAGAAACAGATTATGCATTCAGAAGCTGCAGTGGTGCAATGGATTAAACCCTTGTGCTGGCTGAACTGCTGAACTCGGCGGTTCAAATCCAGGGAGCGGGGTGAGCTCCCGCCTGTCAGCTCCAGCTTCCTATGTGGGGGCATGAGTGAAGCCTCCCACAGGATGGTAACACATCCAGACATCCACTGGGCAATATCCTTGCAGACGGCCAATTTTCTCGCACCAGAAGCAACTTGCAGTTTCTCAAGTCACTTCTGACATGGAAAAAAATGCACTCAGATAAAAAGCTGATAAAAAGCACACTATTCCTCTTCATGATTTTTTAGGAATCTCAAAACAGACATCAGTAAATATTTCATAAAAATAGAATATATATTGAATATCCTGTCCTTGTGAAGATAGTTGTAAAGCCCTAGTGACAGCATTTAGATAACTGTGGCAGTTTTGAAGTTAATGGAGATAATAAAATACTGACCTTCACAAAAAACTGGGAGCGCTGTCCAGGTGTAATTATCAAGGCAAGTAATAACAGAATCGATCCCAGGGATGGTGTCATAACCTGGGCGACAGACGTAGGTCAATCTGGTCTTTGCAGGATAGTAAGTCTCCATAACCCCATCCTTTATTCTAGCAAATCTGAACCTTGGTGGTACAGGACAGATTCCTGGCAACAAAAAGTGACAGAGGACCTAACAGACTCTACTGGCAAAGAATATAAATGAAAGAGTTCACTTTTTTTATAAAGCAATATTGTGTCACACTTAGCCCATCTGCGGTGTTAGCTACACTTCCAAATCCAGAGGCTCAAACTAGTCAAAAGGAAAGATGTGACTTGTGGTCAAAACGAGGCTTCCCAACAGCAGGCAACCAGATCATATTACAAATCAGGCATGGTTCAAAGCCATGATACTATGAATACAGTTGTATTCCTCCTCATAGTTGTCATGACTGTTTCCTTGTTTATCATATCATGTAGTTTATTTCCAACTTAACCCATACTATTAAAAATATGTTCAGGTTAGGATATTTATTTATTTATTTACCTACCTTATTTATATCCCGCCTTTCTTGAGGGGGACTCAAGGCAGCTTACAATCGGACAACTAAATAACTAAAGCACACTGTGCAATCATCCCTCCACATCTGTGATTTAGATTTGGGACCTCATCACACTGAGGTCTTTTCCCACTGTAGTACACTTCATTTACCATTAAAAGACGAAGTGGCATGGATCCCATCACACAATGTAAGTTCACTTCCAGCCGTAACCCATAGAATCATAGAATCAAAGAATCATTGAGTTGGAAGATACCTTGTGGGCCATCCAGTCCAATGCCTTACCAAGAAGCAAGACAATCACGTTCAATGCACCCCCAACAGATGGCCATAATAATAATAATAATAATAATAATAATAATAATCCTTTATTTATACCCCGTTACCATCTCCCGAAGGACTCAATGGAACTTACAAGAGGCCGAGCCCAAATACATCAACAAAACAACAACAACAACAAAGCAAAATAAATGAACTCATAAAACAAAGCAATAAACTAACAAAACATCACGACGCATTAAAATCTGTGGCAGGACCAAATGTAGTAGTTAAAATTTTTAAAAAGTGCTGGGCATGACAAGGCAAGAAGAATAGGTAATTAGAGAGGGATGGAGCATGCAGGCATCCTGGATCTCTAGTAAAGTGCATTGAGGGGCATATTGCCTGGAGTTTCCTTATTCTGGGAAGGCACACTGGAACAACCACGTTTTCAAACTCCTCCTAAAAACTGCCAAGGTTGGGGCAAGCCTGATGTCCATGGGGAGAGAGTTCCAGAGTCAAGGGGCTACCACCGAAAAAAGCCCTGTCCCTCGACCCCACCAATCGCGCTTCTGATGCAGGTGGGATTGTGAGCAAGGCCTCTCCGGATGATCAAAGGGGTCGTGTGGGTTCGTAAACAGAAATGTGGTCACGCAGATAGGTGGGTCCCAAACCATTTAGGACTTTGTAGGTAAGCACCTGCACCTTGAATTGGGACCGGAAAATGAACGGCAGCCAATGGAGTTCCTTGAACAGGAGAGTTGACCACTCCCTATAAGGAGCACCAGTTAACATCCAGCCTCTGTTTAAAAGCCTCCATAGAAGGAGCCTCCACCACACTTCGGGGTAGAGAGTTCCACTGCTGAACAGCTCTCACAGTTAGTAAATTCTTCCTAATGTTTAGGTGGAATCTCCTTTCCTATTGTTTGAAGCCATTGCTCCGCATCCTAGTCTCCAGGGCAGCAGAATACAAGCCTGCGTTCTCTTCGTTTTGACATCCTTTCAAATATTTATACATGTCTATCATGTCTCCTCTCAGCCTTCTCTTCTGCAGGCTAACCATGCCCAGCTCTTTAAGCTGCTCCTCATAGGGCTTGTTCTCCAGACCCTTGATCATTTTATTCGCCCTCCTCTGAACACATTCCAGCTTGTCAATATCTCTCATCCATTGTGGTGCCCAGAATTGGACACAGTATTTGAGATGTGGTCTAACCAAGGCAGAATAGAGGGGTAGCATGACTTCCCTGGATCTAGACACTATACTCCTATTTATGTAGGCCAAAATCCTATTGACTTTTTTAGCTGCAACATCACATTGTTGGCTCATGTTCACCTTGTTGTCCACAAGGACTCCAAGATCTTTTTCCATTCCCCTTCATCTTCGAAATGTACTTTAAGTCCCTCCTTCCTCCATCACATGGGGGTATTGGGGCAAGGTGTGTTTTCACCCTGTCCCTTCCCCCAACAGACAGCATTGCCGCATTGCCATTTCCCCATCAGATGGGGGGAAAGTCCAAAAACCATGGGTAGTTCCATCAGGGTTACCCAAAAGTCAATTCTCTTGCTATGGTGGTGAGGAAGCTGGAATGCAACACATCCTCACGCACAGATGGGACGGGGCCTTGGCCTGAGCCATCTGATGGGATCCATCAAGAACTGTCACTGTAGTGTTGTAAGGGCCAAAAGCTCCTTGTGTGATGAGATGGTAGGTTTTCAAGTCTGACTCTACAGCCAACATCCTCTAGTTATTTTAGAGATTTCTAGAGAGATTTTGTTTATAAAAGAAAAATCAAATACATTTTATTCTGTTGTTAAAATACTGTTTTAATCTGGACTTCTGTAGACTTTAACAGTGTTCTTTTATTGTAATTCCCTGTCTTTTGTGAGTGGCCTTGAGTCCCAGGAAGGATGTAAGTAAAGTGATGGGTGGATGGACCATCCCATACAGAGCCATTGGAGCAAACCGCTCTGTGAAGAAAGATATCAGGACCGTATCATCTGGGGATGATGCAATGCTCTCCTTCCCTTGAGTCTCATCTGCAGGGACAGCAGCAAAGATAAGCAGGCAGTTTCCAACTAGGCTTCACCTGATAAAACTAGTGACGTCTGATTACAGTACAGTTGTTGGAACAAGACCAAATGCCCTTTTTATTCAGGCAGGCTTTAAAGCAGAAAGTTTTTCAGAACGAATCGAGGGTTCCCATAAGGTGTTTCAATTGTTTTAAACGGTTTTTGCTTGTTTAATGCTATTCTAAAGACCTATATGTTTAATTTCAATTTTGTAGGTTTAAAATTGTATTGTTTTCAAGGTGGTAAGCTACTTTGTGTCTTTATCAAGACAAAAAAAGCCACTGCTGATGGCTGTTATTTGTTTATTTATTTTATTTACTATATTTATACTGCACCCTCTCTCACCCTGAAGGGGACTCAGAATGGCTTACAAGTTATATGTATATACAATATATTATATCCTTAGCATAGCACAATATTAGGATTTTATATTACTCTATTGCAGTGGTTCTCAACCTGTGGGCCCCCAGATGTTTTGGCCTTCAACTCCCAGTTGCTTTTATCATTGTGTAGGCCATTATTTGAATCTTTTCACCCAAATAATACGATATACATTTTTTTAAATACTCAAGGAATACATTAATAGCATCACATGGTAGACCTTTTCTGGCACTGCTGTACTTCAGATTGCTAGAAATACTGAAAAATGCCAAGCAATCACCCTGATATCAATTTGCTTTTGTTTTATTTATTTTGTTGTTAACTATTCTGGGAATCTATTCAAAAAATAATGTCAGAGAAGCCTACCAATATATAAATGGAATACCATAGCTAATTTTTTAAAAGCAACATTAATTCATTATATTGCTGGTCACTTCTGTAACCAGCAATATAAAGAATTAATGTTGCTTAAAAAAAAAACCAAACTCACAAGTTTTGTATTTGTCTGTTTGTTTGCTTTGTTCTGTTAGAAATGGACTGGTTGCTCTGACACGACAAATAAATAAATAATTCATTATATATGTCTGCCTGAATCATATATAAGAAGTCAGAATATGTTTTTTATGGTACGTAATTTAGGGGGGAAAGTAAATGAAAAAATTATAACGTACGTTCACAAAACTCTTCGATGGAAGTCCAAGTTGAATCAGAGAGGCATGTTGCAACATCTAGTTTCCCATAAACATTATAGAAATCATCCAGACATCTGTAGGTTACTGATTCCATGGGGAGGAATCTTTCAGCATTGTTCAGAGGGATAGCATTGCTCAGTTTTGGTGGAGGTCCGCAATCCCCTACAATGAAAAAAAAATCAGTTTAATAGGTAGACTGGAATTACATTTAACTTTGCTCTTAAGTTGCATCTAGATTAGGCAATTAATACAGTTTGACCCCATTTTAACTGCCATGGCTCAATGCAATGGAATCTGGGGAGTTGTATTTTAAGAGCAAAGTCTTTCGCTTTCTAAATAGGGCTGGTGCCTTGTGAAACTACAACTCCAATGATTCCATAGCAGTGAGCCATGGCAGTTAAAGTGATGCCAAACTGCATTACGTCTACAGTGTTGATCAGGTATGGGCAAATCTAGGCTTGGGGGCCGGATGCGGCCCCTTGGGCTCTTTTCTCAGATTCTCCTCTCTCTCACCATTATTATTATTATTATTATTATTATTATTATTATTATTATTAACTTTATTTGTACCCCGCTAACATCTCCCGAAGGACTCGGTGCGGCTTACATAGGCCAAGGCCCTCAATAAAACAACAGCATAACAAATACACAATAAAAACGCAAGCAAACCCATAAACATTAAGCAATAAACAATAAAACATTAAACAATAACATCATGACACAGTTCAAACTAGGGCCGGGCAAAATGTAATGAATAAAAATTGAAAGTGCTTGACATGATTTAGGGTAGGTGCAATGTGCAGGCAATCTTAAATCTCTTCCTTCCATCCTTCCCTCTCTCCCTCTTTCTCCTTCCTTCTTTCCTTCCCTTTTGTCTTTTCTTTCTCTCTCTTTCCTTTATCCTTCCCTTCCTTCCTTCCATCTTTCTGTTCACCCCTTCCTTCCTTCCTTCTCTTTTTCCTTCCTCCTTCCCTCCCTCCTTCCTTCCATACTTCTTTTCCACACTTTCATCCTTCCTTCGCTTCCTTTCCTCTTTCCTCCCTCCTTCCCTCTCTCCCTCTTTATCCATCCTTCCCTTTTGTCTTTCTTTCTTTCTTTCTTTCTTTCTCTTTTTCCTCTATCATTCCCTTCCTTCCATCCTTCTCTTCATCTCTTCCTTCCTTCTTTCTCTTTTTCCTTCCTCCTTCCTTCCATCCATCCA